CTCGCCTCCAGAGTCTAAGCGATATTAACCCTTGGACGTACAAGCAAATTCATACCCCCTCCGTGGTACAAGGGGGGGTTGATGGAACCCCTCCCCGAAGTTTTTGATATGTTGCAGTATTTGGAAACGCTTTTACCTTTGGTGGAAAGCCTTTGATCTTCTTAACAAGATGAGGTATATTTTATGGGTGGTGGCGCTGCTGGAAGCCTGTGACGTCACCAACAATGGTCGCCATCTTGGATTTTACCAAGAATTGGAAATCAGGTTAAAACTGCGAGAAATGGTAATTTTTGGTGCTTTACTTGAAAAATAACACATAAATAAACACTTTGCATAATTTTAGCTACAAGATTTACTTTTATTGTCGAAAGAAATTGAAAAAACATGTATTTTCACCCAAAATTGGTTTGACCACCTTCTACTTATGACGTCATATCTCGTAACCATAGCAACTGTCCATCACTGAGCTCGTCTCAAAATCTGCGCGAGGGATGAACGAACAGCTACTGAAAACGCCAGGTGCTGATGTTTTATCCTCTGGGAAAAAACTCAGAACGTCCGAGGGTTAAATTAAACTCAGAACGTCCGAAGGTTGAGGTGGCTCTTTCCTATTTATATGCGTCTTGATTATGTTTTTGATTCGCGTTTTTCAGAATGAAAGATTCAACCAATTTCTATGATTTTTTGCATCCTTAATAAATAATGATGGAACTTTAAGAAAAAGTTATCTATTTTCTTATAGGTATAAAAACTTTTGAGATATCAGCATATATTTAAAACCTCATTTTTACGAAAAATGAAAATAACTTCGAAATCCCACGACAGATTTTTCCCTGACGTCAGCAAATAAGCCTCAGAGCTCTCTAGTTTTATGTCTGTAAGTTTGAGGGCAATCGTGACCGTAGAAAACGCTCCACAAAATGTTGGTCAAATTTAATGCTAAAATGATAGGCTAACACATTTGTGAACGTAAACGCACAAATAGCGGAAGAGAGCTGACAAACTATCTCTTAACTGAAACGTTGTTCTTACCCAAAGCATTGTTGGAAGAAAATGAGTAATCGGACAACTACGGCGAACACAGTTAGCGCTTTAATACAACCAACTTTCTGCTACATGCGCGTTGAAATTAAATATATTCTATTTATTCAACTTACTCTGCATTTGTCCGTTCATTTTCGACAAAAATATTAAGAAAACAAAACACAGCATCTGCAGAAACGGCTTGGCAGTTTTTAGCTTCAAAGGTTCTCGTTCTGAGGCGAAATATGCCCGCTAGTTCGAGAACACCTGGCCATCCAATTTTCAACTGTAATGAAAACCTTCTCGCACGATAATATATTCAAGATCTCTGACTTTCCTATCTCATGCTCACATGCCGATATCTCAAAAGTTTTTATACCTATAAGAAAATAAATAACATTTTCTTAAAGTTCCATCATTATTTGTTAAGGATGCAAAAAATCGTAGAAATCCGTTGAAACTTTCATTCCGAAAATCAAAAACATAACCAACACGCATATAAATAAATAGGAACGGGCCACCTTAAATTTGTACTGATGAATAGCGCAGATTTTAGATTTTTATTATGAACCTTCCATGTCTTCAAAATGATTGTAAATTTTAAAATACTACATTTTTAACACTCGTAGCATTCCTATTTTAATTTTCATTTTGCATTAAGAATGGTCCTTTTAGTGTCCACAATTAGCTAATATCTAGCTAAACACTCTGACACTTAAATGAAGTTCATTCGTTCATTCATTCATTCCACCCTAAACTTAAGCTGTCGAGGTGAATTTCTTCTTTTATGGATCCAACTACACTTTTGAAAATTTATACAGAGACAATTTTACCTATTTGTGATTTTGGTTGTATTTATGGGGATCCCGTGCGAAGAAGAACTCTGATTGTTTTAGGGGTGCTTAGGTTTCTGCCGGCTTCTTACATTGGTGAAACCGGCAGAAACCTAAGCATTCGACTGACCGAACACAACCGAGCGACGAGGAATGGTGACGTCAACAATCACATTGCAGAGCACCATTTAAAGACGAAACATCCAATTGACTGGGACTCTGCGACATGTATAACGTATTCTACAGACTACTATCAACGTCTTGCTTTATAGATAGCTGGTTTAAAAACTTAGAACAAACGCCACTGAATCGTAGCCAACAGTTACCAGCGCCGTACAAACGACTTATTGACGAGATCAAGCAAAACTAACTACGAGAGAACGACTGGAGAACTGACAATTTGACTAACAACAGATAACTGTGACACTGATTACGAGTCTTCATAGCCAATAACATCACGGCTTAACTGACAGACGACCAATAACATCGCGACGTAATTGGTCAATCAGATCAATAACCAGAGTATAATACCATCAACTGACGTGATACAACTCACTTTGACTCTGAAGATGACTACTGCACAGGTTGTCGAAACGTCAGTCACTGTCAACAACAACAGTCCTATTCAGGACTACGTTCACCCGGACGATCAATATTTAGTTAGCTGATATTAATTAGCAACATTATAACAAATAACGAACTGATCTGCATATGAACATATCGCTTATATTTTATTGATGTGAAGTATATATGAAATAATTCATTTTTGAACTGCGGTTGTAGATGAAAGTGAAGAATGATCATCGCAGTAAATTTTCCAATTTAAGCAATTGGAAAGAAGAAGCCTGAAAAAAATCAGGGCTTCAACGGGATTCGAGCCCGTGACCTCCGCGTTGCCGGTGCGTTCCCGGCTCTACCAACTGAGCTTTGAAACCACACATTGGGAGCGAGGTCAATTTATTGAGTTCATATCTCCCGTGAGGAGTGAAATGATGTGAAGTATATGAAATGATTCATTTTTGAACTGCGGTTGTAGATGAGAGTGAAGAATGATCATCGCAGTAAATTTTCCAATTTAAGCAATTGGAAAGAAGAAGCCTGAAAAAAAAATATCAGGGCTTCAACGGGATTCGAACCCGTGACACAGAGGGGTTCGAATCCCGTTGAAGCCCTGATTTTTTTCAGGCTTCTTCTTTCCAGTTGCTTAAATTGGAAAATTTACTGCGATGATCATTCTTCACTTTCATCTACAACTGCAGTTCAAAAATGAATTACCCAAGTTATTTTTTTCTCTTGGCTTCTAACAGTCAGTTTTAATGTGCTAAAAGTTACCCTTTTTATGCTTTATTGGTGTCCCCTTTATGTGGCTGAGTATAATTTTCTTCGAGTTCCTTCCATGTGTTGTATTGATATCCTGCTTTGCATCAATGATATTTCACGTACACAAGCATGATCGGTCAGCACGCATCGTCGCAAAATAGTTACGATTTAACCATCAGGTGTCGTTTAAAACCCATCAGGAGAAGTCTGCAGTAATAATGATGGGTATTGTAATAGGAGTTTTTCTTGTTTGCTATGGGATGTATCTGCGTTGTAGTTTTTTAATACTATTCCACACTACCTCATCGCCATGCAATGATGAAAACTACAAAATTCCTGTCTTGGTTTTAAACTCGGCCATTAACCCGCTGGCCTATGCCTTTTTGAAAAGAGACATCAAAAGAGAGTTTAAAAGAATTGTCAGCGCTGCTTTTAAGGAAAATAACAAAGGCAAGCCTACCACTTTTCGTGCGTAACTCCGTATTCTTGTAGGATGTAGGTCTTACTGAATATATGAACGAGTTTGAAAGGCTTGAGCGAAGACTGATAAATCTGTGACTCTTGGACTCGAAGCGAATTGGAATTTGGAAAAAAAAAGGCGAGGAGAGACCCTAGGAGAATATGGAGGGAAAGAACCTAAGATCAATGTTCACTGTGATGATATGGGACACAAAGGTTCTCATTGGATTGAATGTTTTAAGGTTTCACATCGTGAGAGTATATTAAGTTCGTGTTTACATCCCACTAGCAAAACCTCTGTTTCACTTGCGCATGCTCAAAGAAAGGCTCTGCATGAATCGAGTAAAATCTTTGTTGAGCATGTGCCGCTTGGTGCTTGGATACAGTTTCGAACCCAGGCTTAATAGCGGTTCGCTTGATACAGCGGGCTTATCGGTTATGACCTTCGGTCCATCGGCAATAAACACGGATGCTCGCACTCTGAATACCAGTTTAACAAGAGAAAACAAGATTGACTAGTTAACAGAAAATTCGGGGTTCGGCGACTTCAAAGGCTTGACGCGATTTCATGCAGAGCTTCCATTTTGCTCCTTATTTAAGAAAGACAAAAAGGGATTTTCAGTTCAATAACCTTCGTAATCAACTCTCTTAACGGCGGTGGATTCCTAGAATTTACCGAGCCGAATAGAGTACTCATTGTAGTATCAGCTATGTAACCGCTCCTGCAGTAGTTTTACTCAGAGACCATGTGCTTCGCAGTGGTGCAAAAAAGTTGGATTAAATAAAAGGCAGTTGGTTTTGTTTACGAAGTCTCTGTGGAATTCACAGTAGTTAAGCGTGAGAATATTACAGATTTACTGTTTGCTTTTCTCGTCGTATGAAATAATTTCCTTTTGAGTAAGACACATCAGTGGAAATGTAGTGCTTTTGTAATCTTTTCGTGCGTTAAAAGTTATTTTAGCTCAGTCCAGGTGCGACTGAATTATTGAAAAATCGTCTAAAGTGTAAAACGACTTAAAGAAAGGTAGCTATCAAATTTGTCATCTTCTTTATCGCCCTGGTGAAACGAACTTAGGGCTAATTTCCATTTAAATTCTGTAGAAGCGTGACAAAGAAATGAATAATGATGGTTGCTTTCTCAGGAAGCCCAACTGCGCAAATGCGAAGACGAGTTGCTCGTAGCTGGAACGACATAAAAACGCCGCATGTTGAATGCCGAATGTACGACAAAGCCTGATAATAATAATAATTTATTCATTTATAGTGCGCTTTTTAACATGCTAGGTGATCAAAAGCGCATTACAACAATATATAACCTAAAAACTATTAATACAAATATTAGAAATATACAAATATATTTAACATCTAAGAGATATTAAAAGCTAATTTAAAAAGATAAGTTTTAAGATTAGATTTAAAAGTAGAAATACATTTGATGCTGTGGAGGCTAACAAGAAGAGCGTTCCATAAAGTGGGCGCAGCCACACTGAAGGATCTGTCACCAAATGACTTTTTCATTTTTCCTGACGGATGCTTTAATAAAACACCTTCATTAGAGCGCAGCAAATAGCGCGTATTAGTCTTAGTAAGAATTAACTCAATGATGTAGCTAGGTGCCATGCCATAGAGGGCTTTGAAAGTAAGTAATAAAATTTTAAAATTAATTCTATATCTTACTGGTAACCAGTGTAAATTTATCAAAACGGGCGTAATATGGCCTTCCAAATTTATCGATACGAAATAAAAATGCCATAGAACAAATTTAACCAAATAATATCGCTAATTGATTGATAAGCAGGTGAGAACAGTTGTCAAAGGTCGTATCGACAGTCCAGGCGTTTTGCGCCATTTATGTATTGAACGGATTATAAACGATCTTTTAGAGGTTGGCTTTTTTTTCAGTTGATAAGAACTACCTTTAAAAAACTTACCGACATTATGTTTTTAAAGGCAGGCGACAACCAATTAAAGGCTTCCATCTACAGTATTAACTTTATATGAGAAAGGTCTTTTTAGTTAACGTAAAGAACAACAACAACAAACAAAACTCTATTCATACTAAAAAAATGTATAATTACGAAGTAACTAAAAATTACGTGTATAGAAGACAAACTTTAAGTTACAATTGAATTTGAATTTAAAAAGCTAATAAACAATTAATTGAAAAAGATCAACAAACTACGGGTATCATTTTAGATCATGGTTCAGCACCACGTAAGCGTAGTAGCTCTTCAATGGTGAGCAATGCGTGTACCTTAGTGCCAACCGTTTTTCGATGGCATGGGAAAATGGAATTCAAATGCCATTTAGATTTTTTGTTTTCGCATGACATTGAAAAACAGATTTTGTTTTTCGTTTTCGCTTCACTTTGAAAAACGGATATGAATTTCAGTTTTCGTTTTTCGTTTTCGCATCACTTTGAAAAACGGATTTGAATTTCGTTTTTGCATTACTTGTTATTGAAAAACAGATTGGAGTTTCGTTTGTCATTTTTGCATGAATTTGAAAAGTGGATTAATGCACCAGTCATTTGAAACTCCCCCTCCCCAAGGGGATGACCGGGATAATGAGGGGCCTTTCACTTCATAATCACTCCATTTTTATTCCCCGCTAGGCGGGGGACACGCTAGGAATCCCGGTCTTTGCCTCCCTGACCGGGGAATAAGCAGGGCAGTCACTCTGTGGTAAACGTTTCCATTTTCGCGCCGCGTAGTAATTTTGCATACATTTTCAACGCTTCTCGCAGCGAAAACGAATAACGAAAACTGAAATTGATATCCGTTTTTTCAAGTGATACGAAAACGAAAAACGAAATACGAAGTGCAAAACCGTTTTTCAAAGTTAGGGCGAAAATGAAAAACAAAAAGCAAAATTCAAATCTGTTTTTCAATGTCATGCGAAAACGAAAAATGGAAATGGCACTTGAATTCCCTTTTCCCATGCCATCGAAACACGGTTGGCACTAAGATACACGCATTGTGAGCCAGCCAAGTTCATGTAAGACTGCAGTAGTGTAATGTGATCGAACTTTTTTGTGTTAGCGAGTATACGGCGGACCGACGGCAAAGTTTTGCATAAGTTGTAGTTTATGGATGTTTTCTTTAGAAGTTCCAGACCATAGGGTGAAGCAATAGAACAGTTTGCTAAATATTAATTAGGGAATGTAGGATTATGTTCAGTGCGTCTTTAGAGAAAAAGTGTCGTACCCTATTTATTTAAACTAATGTTGACAAAGGAGAGGCGGTTATAGTGAAGCGATATGGTCATTCAAGGGCGCTTTCCATTTACGAAAAAAACCCGGAAATTTCGGTGGTAGCAAAAGTGGAATTTCCGATCGGTAAAAAGTTGCTCCATTTGGTCATAAACCCCGGTACGTGGCCGGGTGCCCGACCGTGGACCTGGAATTCGAACTGGTACAAACAGGGCGGATAAATGTTGGGCCGTGAAACGAGCGCTCCGCTCTTCATTTAATGTGTGATGCGGAGTAGGACTGGCACGAGCGCTCTTTCCGCCCTTCCGGTGCGCTTGAAGGCCGACGAAATTTTCCTTTTTGCAAACCGGAAATCCTATTTTCTTTCTGTAATTTCAGGCTACAATGTTAAATAGATTAATTCGTTTCATAACAGTATCAATAAACAGTTTCATATGTTTGTGTCTGTATGCCTATAAGTCAAACTTGTTGATCGTATAATGCCAAAATTTGAGTTTAATTTGAAAGTGTTGAATACCTGCTCCTTCCACTAAATATCACCTAATCGTCTTTCGCCGTTTCGTTTGCAAAAGCTTAAGAGCGACTTTCTGTAAATACCACGGATAGGTGTGCAAGATGGAAAAATCGAAATTCCCCAAACTTTGTCCCAACAAAGCCCTTTGGAAACTATTTTAGAAAATACAAGACTCAGTTCGTTTGACTCAATATTTTCCAAAATAATAATTTTTTTTAATTTTCACCTTCGAGAGGCCTTCAAACCACCGAAAAATGTGCTTGATACCCTCGCTTCGTGAATGGAAACGGAAACTAATACCATAACTTTTCTTACATTAAACAATGTTATGATCCTTCCTTTCTACCTAAACGTTGTTACAATTTCAAAAGATTTCAATCTGATTTTTTAATATTTTTTCAAAATTACCCTCTAAATCAGCATTATCGCGACCATCAACTTTGCCATTTTTCAACGGCGAAAATCCCTTCCTGGTACATGACTTTCATTAGAAAAATGGTATTCCAGAGAAAAAGCAATGTTTCCCCTATCAATCTGTGAAATAAAATTCTGGGGCAATTGAAACTGCGAGTTTTTACAACTGAAAACATTTACGGTACTCGCGTGATTTACGACCTCTGAACTTGCAGTTGTCGTGATGAATACAAGGGAGAACTTAGACAGCACTTGAAACTCTGGCGCAAATTTGCCCCTTTTCCGCCAGTTTAAACACCAAAAACGATTTTAGATTTCACAGTGGTAAATTTTCAAAAGGAAAAGCAATTTTATTGTGCGAAAGTGTGCTATGAACTTCTTGACTACAACACATCCCTTACGTGCGTATTTGTTTACTTTTACCGTATCTGTAACAGTTATCATATATCTACAAAACGGCTTTAGTGTCGGTAGCTATTCTTTAAAATGCTCTCATTTCTCATGAACCAAATCGTTATAGCTATAAAAAAAGGAAAACGTTTTGAAACAGAACCGAATCCTTTACTGCCTATAACGAAATGAGATTGCGTGACAAAGAACTTTGAGACCCAGGTTGAAGACAGATACCATTCCGAAAAAGACACTCACGCGGTGTCTTCTGTAACTATAAAAGCAAAACATGTAAATAATCAAAACCCTTAGTTTCACTGACTTATCCGCTAGAGCGATTATGAAAACGTAAGACTGAAAAAACATATTTTCCACAACAGACTATGAAGTGGTTGGCCCTTATATTCTCTTACTTTCCATAAACGCCTGCTTACACATTTTGAAATACGATTATGAATTCCTTACTTGTATCCTTAGAAAAATGACATTTAGGGGGAAAAAAGTGCTAATTCCTAGTCTTAAATGCCATCCGTCCCTTCCCTCCACCCCCTAAGGGGCGGCAGCCCGTTTCGGGGTGGGGCGAAGAAACGCAGAACATTTCAAACTGGACATAGCGGGGCTAGAAAACCTGCATAATTTTAGAGCACCTCTGGTGTTAAAAGCAAAGCTTTCAGTAGTTCTGGCAACCTCGAGCAAGTTTTGCATTTCTGAGCAACGTTTGGGAAAAATATAGGCTTATGTCAAGCCAGAAAAAAGTGAGCAGTTTGATAGAAAATGTCAAGTACGACTGAACCGCGCCCGTATAAGCGCCCCTAATGATTCTGGCAGGGGGAGGGGGGGAATTTTGAAATGGAGCGAAGGGGACCTAGGTCTAACCATACCGTCTGCGCTTTAGCTGTGAGTCTGCCTTGGAGGTAAATTTCGCTCATATTTTTGAGCAACTCTTTAAAGAAGATTGCAAGCCGTATAGTTGCGTCCGTCTGGAACGCTGGAGCGGTGAACCCAATGATCGCCCCCCCTCGCACCTTGAAAAAAAACTGCGTTTTTTGAGAAAATAAGGAAAGGCCGTTCGCACTAACTAAAAGCTATTGTTTTTTGCATTGCTATTGAAAATCTGAAAAGGAACAGTCTTACACACGTAGCCCTCGGGGCGGTACCAGGTGAATATATCACATACCCCATCGTTCCAGGTATATAACCTTTACGTAAGCGTAGGATGTAAGACACACTTGTGGATACGCGTAAGCATAACTTGAGATACCCAGGCGCAAAAAAATAACAGTGGCGCGGCTAATGTTACCTCCCCTCAAAAATGAAGCGAATTAACGTGGGCTTGAAAAGTGAGATATTCGGATATCTTCGGGATAATTGATAGCGAGTTATTTCCAGTCCACGGTCTTACTCCTAAATTTTTCGAAAGTATTTGTTCTCTTAGAAAACCCAGAATTTCGAGATTTCTTGATAGTTTTATACATACGCTAATTATGAGATTCCTTTTCTTCTTTCCTAACGATAAGTTAAATAGGTCAAGAAAAAACAGCTTTCAGTAAGTTAAACTAAGTTTTTTGAGGGCGCGATCTTTGGTTTCACCGCTGAGCGTTCCTGATGGGCCCAAATATACGGGCTTGCAATCTCCTTTAAAGAGTTGCTCGACACTGTGGGCAAAATTTATTGCCAAGGGAAACGGACAACTAAAAAGCAGGCGGTGTGCTTAGAGCTAGGTCCTCTTTGCTCAATTTCAGAGTTTCCCCTCCCCACCCAGCCTCCCCCTCCCGCCCGAGCCATTAGGGGCGCTTTTACGGGCGTTGTTCAGTCGTACTTAACATTTTCTATCAAACTGCGCACTTTTTCTGGTTTGACATGTGCCATAACCTATATTTTGGCAAAACGTTCCTCAGAAATGCAAAACTTGTTCGAGTTTGCCAGAACTACAGAAAATTTAAACACAAGAGGTGCTATAAGGTTATGCAGGTTTTTTAGCCCCGCCATGTCTAGTCTGAAATGTTATGCGTGCCTTCGCCCCACCCCGAAACCTGCTGTGGCCCCTTAGGGGGTGGAGGGAAGGGACGGATGACATTTTAGACTACGACTTAGCGCTTTTTCCTAAGAATACAAGTAAGGAATTCATAATCGTATTTTAAAACGAGCGTGATGAAAACAAAAGGCTACGGTGGAACCTCGATTTAA